CTACTTTGAGAGATTAATTCTCGTTTACTGTTCTACAACAAACTTCGGGATTTTAGAAGTGGATTCTCGTAATTTTTTCTTGCGATATAATATTGGTTTCTGGTCCTTTATACCCACGTGGTGAATATTCGACCTTGATTATAATGATTTCTACCTCTTTATAGCTATGGTGCATTATTCATTGCTTCCGCCAACTTGATTCCTTTGTTTTGGGAGTTCCAAGTTTTGCTTCCGCGTAAGGTATTGGATCTCGTAACATGTTCTACGTAGTTTGTATTAAACAGGTTTCTTTTTCTAGTTTTGCTAAAGATGTAGACTAATACTCTTGACTTCTTATTTTGCTATTTTTGATTTGTGCGAAATTTATTTTTACAATTATAATTCAGATAGACGGAACATATAGGGAAAAATTGTTTCATTTAAATCTTAGATTGTATAAATGCGACATGCACACTTTATTGTTTAAATTAATTTAAGAAACTATATATATTGGCCGATATTACTACCTGGTGGATTTTACTTGGATTTTTTGCACAAGAGTTCAATTTTGTGCACTGAATTTGAATATAATGATTTTCTTGCAGTGGTGTTACTGGTTTGTTACCAGGGTTGCAAAGGCTACTTTAGAGAAAGCATTGGTAAAAAACAAGTATGTAGATGGGGATAATTTTTCACCATAGTTACTGGTCAAGGCGCTCCGACTATAATTACAATAGATGGCAGTAAGACAATCACAAAAAAAAAAGTTTGTTTTCTGTTATTTTGATCACCATTTCCTTGTCTTTACTATATATATGATTTAACACCCAATTATTATTTTACGGTCATTGGACAATTATTAAATATTGTAAATTTGGTGATGAATATTCAAATTATTGCTAGATTGGTATCTTTGATCACCGAAACATTTGAAATATGAGAATTATTGGAATCGTGAAATGATTTTTTCAGCCAACTAATTGATTTGTAATCATATTCATTTACCACCGAAAATAAATAGTCGTTTTATGTGTATATATATCGACCATTTTTTTAACAACCGAAACGGCATGATCATTCTATGTGTACCTATTGTGATTAACATTTATCAACAAAATAAAATGGTCGTTTTATGTGTAAATTGCGATTAACATTTACCAACAAAACAAAACGATTGTTTTATGTGAATTTACAATGTTTATACTTTTAACAACCAAAACTATATGGTCATTATATGTTTATTTAAAGCGACGATTCTTTTAAAAACCAAAACAATGTGGTCATTATATGTTTATTTACAGCGACTATTTTTTAACAATCAAAACAATATGGTCATTGTATGTGTATCTATTGCGACTGTCCATTTATAGACCAAAACGACATTGTCATTGTTTATATATTGGTAGCGACTCTGTTAACACTACAATGACCATAGATATTTACATTAGTGAGTAGAAACTTTTCGTTGATGATTACATCTTTAGCGAGCACAAAATATTTGGTCAATATATGTCTATCTTTAGCGACAATGTTAATATTATCAAGGAGTAGGAATTTGTCGCTAATGACTACATCTTCAATGCCTATTAGGAAATGGTCGCAAAAAATATATACTTTTTAATGACCAATTAAATAACTCGTATTATTTTTAGTAGTGAACCTGACATGACCACTTTTATTTGTTCACTATATATTTTAGCGATGATTTTTTGTTTACTTTTAGGGACCATACCATAGAGTCGCTAATTGTTAGGGTTAATCACTATTTCAACCAATAACAATCGGCTAGATAATATAACGATAATATAATTACATTATTCAACATGTGAATCTATAGGTCCTTGTAGATCGATATCTAAAATCACTGTTCTACAAAATGCGATACTGTACACTTGCGGTAATTTATACATAAGGAAAACGCACATCAGCTTCCAGCCTCTACTCATAGGACTTGCGGAACTCCAAGATCGGATGGAAGGTGATACGATCCAGCCAGTTACGCGAGGTAGTGCGAGCTGGATGAAGGAGTTGATGACTTGGACGAGCTGCATGTGCCAAGGGGACCGATTATGCGAGCTCGGGCCAAACGCATTGAAGAAGCCATGGTTAGCTTAGTAGAACGCGAGCTCCGAAAGGAAGAATTGACGAAGACTAGTTCGATCCCAGCTGAGCTTAATTGGAGCGAATTATCGGGCCAGATTGTGAAGCAAGCCGAGCTCAAGGACTTGAGCCCGTCTAGTCATACAGTCGAGAAAACGTGACTTGGAAAAGATGATTATTATTAATTTTCGTATTTTATTATTGGACAATTTATTTCTTGCTATTTAGAGTCCGATTTAGACTATATTTAGTTTATTTCGTTATTTTCTTATGATAGATAAGTTAGGATTCATTTTCCTTGTTAGATTAGTTCTCTTTGACACTTATAAATAGGTTGTTTTAGGATTATTATTATTTTGGACGTTTTTTAAGTATTATTTTGAGAGATTAAAATTCTCCTTCGTTGTTCTTCAACAACACTTCGGGATATTTTGCGAGTGGATTCTTGTAAATTATTCTTAGCAATATAGTATTGGTTTCTGATTCATTATAATCACGGGGTCAATACTTCCACCTTGATAATATTGGTTTCTAGCTCTCTATATCTACGGGGTCAATATTCCGGATTCCGTCAATCGAATCCTTTATTTTTTGGACGTTCTGTTCTTGCTTCCGTATAAGATTAGTGGGTCCCGTAACAAGTTCTACGGGGTTCGTATCAGTTGGTAACCAGAGCCAATTTCCAAAAAAAGGTTTCACCTATCTTTTTTCCGTGTCTTTGTTTTATTTTCGTTCTTCGATTTTTCGTGTCTTCTGTATCTCGTCTTTTCTTAAATTGTGTTGTTTAAAGTCTTCGTCAAAAAAAAAAAACGAATTTTGCTTTTCTTTAAAGTTACTTCCAGACCACGTTAGGGTTTGTTAGTAAAACAAATTTTGGCCAACACAAATCAAGTTTCAGTAGACTTGGGCAACTCCTTGAATATCTTGTTTCCTTGTCTACATTTTTCTAATTGAATTCCACGTTGTTTCTTTGTTTCATATCCCTTTTTGTTTCCTTTATCATAAATTCGAATTCCTCTTTTATTTTCCTCCAAATAAATTCTGAATTAATCAAATACTATTTAGCTTTAAAAAAAACGAAATTTCACTTAAAACAATTCTCGATTAGTTTCTTTAGAACTTTGAAGGGAGTTTACGAGTGGAAAAGGGCAAGAGAATGTGAGATCAAAAGAGGGTAAAAGTCGAATTATGTGAAACACGAGTGAATTAAGTGAACATCTTCTTGAGTGATACACGTGAGGGAGTGGTGAGGAAAATATTTTTTTTCTTTAACAATATTTTACAGTTCGAACACCATGTCAAGGAATGGTAGTGGTGATGCAAGGGACAGGGCCACGGAGCAGCAATTCCAACGTCTCCATATAACCCTTCAAAGGATGCAAAATCAAATCGATGAGTTGAGTAGGGTAAGACCTGCACCGGCGCCACAACTTCGGCAACCTATTCGTCAACATGTTGTACGCCAAGGTGAAAAATTGGAGTTCGATGAACAAATCTTCGATGAAGAATATGAGGCAGAGTCTAATACTTCTAGACGATGGCGTAGAGGACGAGGGAACAGAGGTGACAGATTTGACAGACCGAGGCGAGGTAATGTGGGACGAGAAAGAGATGAAGTTGATCGAAACCTCAGCTCGATCAAATTAAGTATACGGTCTTTCCAAGTGAAGAGTGATCCCGAGGCATACATAGAATGGGAAAGAAAGGTTGAGCTTGTTTTCGATTGCCACAATTATTCCGAGGAAAAGAAGGTGAAGCTTGCAACTGTAGCGTTCACCGGTTATGCTATCATTTGGTGGGATCAATTGGTAGTGACTAGACGCAGAATTGGCGAACCACCAATTGTTGATTGGGATTCTATGAAGGAACTTATGAGACGAAGGTTCGTGCCCTCACATTATTATAGAGACTGGCATCTGAAATTACAAAGCTTGAAGCAAGGTACTAAATCAATCGAGGAGTACCATAAAGAGATGGAGATTGCAATGATTCAAGCCAATATTGAGAAGGATCGAGAGGCCACGATGGCAAGATTTATTTGCAGGCTGAACTGGGAGATCACTGATGCAGTGGAGTTGCAGCACTACGTAGAGATTGAGGAGGTCGTTCATATGGCAATGAAAGTTAAGAGGCAGCTTAAAGTGATGAGGGAGAACAACAGCTCGGGCCGAGACATCAAGCTGGAAACCGCGATGCAATCCTACTTCAAAACCCGAGGAGAAATCGACAACGAGACTTTCCAATGAACATCCAATCAATCGAGCACCACCAGAGAGAGGTAATACATCCTCACAACCACAACGAACACGTGATATGAAATGCTATAGATGTCATGGAGCTGGTCATATCACCACGGAGTGCCCTAACCGGCGAGCTATGATTTAATTGGAGAATGGCGAGCTGGAGTCCGAGGATGAGGAAGAGTCAAATTAACAAACAGCACCTAAGAAAGGTGATGTAGTACAAGCTGTTGATGGATTCGCACTTGTTGTACTTCGAACTCTCCATGTGCAAGCTCAAGAAGATGGTGACGTAATATAGCGAGAGAACATCTTCTATACACACTGCCACGTTCAAAACCGAGTATGTGGATTGATAATTGATGGAGGAAGTTGCGGGAATGTAGCGAGCAAGCTAATGGTAGACAAGCTAGGGCTGCAAGTCACCAAACATCCGAGACCTTACAAACTTCAGTGGCTGAATGAAAGTGGCGAGTTGAGAGTGACGAAACAAATATTGATTTTATTCCAGGGTCCCAAGTATTGATTCATTTTGGTTTAACTAATGCACCAAGTACGTTTATGCGACTTATGAATCATGTTCTGCGATCTGACATAGGAAAATTTGTTGTTGTTTACTTTTATGATATCTTAGTATATAGCAATAATTTGCATGATCTTGTTGAGCATTTGAGGTGTGTCATGGAGTCCTTACGGCGAGAACAATTATATGCTAATTTAAAGAAGTGTGATTTATGCCTAGATAGGATAGTTTTCCTTGGTTTTGTTGTGAGTTCTAGCGGCGTTGAAGTGGACGAGGAAAAGGTTAAAGCTATTTGTGAATGGCCAACACCCAAGAACGCATCCGAGGTGCAAAGCTTCCATGGCCTAGCGGGATTCTATAGGAGATTTGTACCGAACTTCAACACAATTGCAGCACCTTTGACCGAGGTGATCAAGAAGGAGGTTGGCTTCAAGTAGGGCGAGTCGCAAGAGAATGCTTTTCACACTTTAAAAGTAAAGCTACGTTCCGCTCCTTTATGACTTTAACCATACTTTTCTAAAACTTTTGAAATAGAATGTGATGCTTCTAGAATTGGTATTGGTGCAGTGCTTATGCAAGACAAGCGACCTATCGCTTATTTCAGCGAGAAGCTTAATGGCGCAGCCTTGAAATACTCGACCTATGACAAAGAGCTCTATGGGTTCGTACGAGCTTTGGAGACATGGCAACATTACTTGTGGTCTAAGGAATTCGTAATCCACACAGATTACGAGACGCTAAAGCATCTTAAGGGCCAAGGCAAGCTGAACCGAAGACATGCTGGGTGGGTGGAGTTTATCGAGATGTTTCCATTTGTGATACAGTACAAACAAGGTAAAGATAATGTCGTAGCAGATGCACTATCTCCCAGGTATGTTCTCGTGTCGACCCTTAGTGCTAAATTGTTAGGTTTTGAGCATGTTAAGGAGTTGTACGTGAACGATCATGACTTTGCTACTATATTTTCTGCATGTCAAAAGGGAACTTTTGAAAAATTCGTACAAGCATGATGATTATTTGTTTAGGGAGAACAAACTTTACATGCCTAATTGTTCGCTTCGTGAATTGCTTGTGCTAGAATCACATGGAGGTGCTTTAATGGGACATTTTGGTGTTTCTAAGACATTAGATATTTTAAAAGAACATTTCTTTTGGCCGTGTATGAAGCGCAATGTTGAGAGGGTTTGTTCGAAGTATCTAACATGTAGGCGAGCTAAATCTACGGTTAAACCACATGGTTTACATATGCCATTACCTGTTCGTACTCACCCTTGGACCGATGTATCAATGGATTTTGTTTTAGGTTGCCGAGGTCTAGTAAAGGTCGAGATGCTATTTTTGTTGTGGTAGATCGTTTTTCTAAAATGGCACACTTCATTCCATGTCATAAAACTGATGATGCTACGCATGTAGCAAATTTATTCTTCAGCGAAGTAGTGCGATTGCATGGGGTACTTCGTACTATTGTTAGTGATAGGGATGTTAAATTCCTTAGTCATTTTTGGCGTGTTTTGTGGGGTAAGTTAGGTACACTTTTTAATCTTTTCTACTACTTGTCATCCACAAACCGATGGTCAAACCGAGGTAGTTAATCGAACTTTATGTATGTTATTGCGAGTTGTTCTTAAAAGAAACCTAAAGTCATGAGAGGAATGTATTCCTTTTATTGAGTTCGCGTATAATAGATCGGTGCATTCTTCTACAAAGTTTCACCTTTTGATATCGTTTATGGTTTTAATCCAGTAACTCGTTGGGATTTGTTGCCTTTACCTATTAATGAGATTTCTAGTCTAGATGGGAAGCGTAAGGCTGAGTTAGTGAAGAAAATCCATGAAGAAGCACGCGAGCACATTGTGAAGAGGAATGAGCAAGTTGCGAACCGAGCTAATAAGGGGCGAAAGCACCTTACCTTTCAGCAAGGAGATTGGGTTTGGGTTCATTTTTGAAAGGAAAGGTTTCCCAATTAGCGCAGTTCAAAACTTAAGCCACGAGGAGATGGACCTTTCCAAGTGCTGGAAAAGATTAACGATAATGCCTATAAGATCGACCTTCCAAGTGAGTATCAAGTTAGTTCGACATTAAATGTTTCTGACCTATCTCCGATTGATGTAGATTCAGATTCGAGGACGACTCCTTTTCAAGAGGGGGAGGATGATACGATCCAGCCAGTTACGCAAGGTAGTGCCGAGCTGGATGAAGGAGTTTATGACTTGGACGAGCTGCATGTGCAAAGAGGACCGGTTATGCGAGCTCGGACCAAGCGCATTGAAGCAGCCATGCTTAACTTAGTAGAAGACGAGCTCCGAAAGGAAGAATTTACGAATTCTAGTTCGATCACAGCTGAGCTTAATTGGAGCGAATTATCGGGCCAGGTTGTGAAGCAAGCCGAGCTCAAGGACTTGAGCTCGTCTAGTCATCTAGCCGAGAAGACGTGACTTAGAAAAGATGATTATTATTTATTTTTGTATTTTATTATTGAACAATTTATTTATTGCTATTTAGAGTCTGATTTGGACTAAATTTAGTTTATATATTTATTTCCTTATAATAGATAAGTTAAGATTTATTTTCCTTGTTAGATTAGGTCTCATTGACACTTATAAATAGGTTGTTTTAGGGTCATTATTATTTGGACGATTTTTAAGCATTAATTTGAGAGATTAAAATTCTCCTTCGTTATTCTTCAACAACTCTTCGGGATATTTGCGAGTGGATTCTTGTGAACTATTCTTAGCGATATAGTGTTGGTTTCTGATTCATAATAATCACGGGGTCAATACTTTTATCTTGATAATATTGATTTCTAGCTCTCTATAGCTACGGGGTCAATATTCCAAATTCCGCCAATTGAATCCTTTCTTCGGACGTTCCGTTCGTGCTTCCGCGTAAGATATTAGGGTCTCGTAACAAGTTCTATCTACGGGGTTCGTATCAATTCGCCACCACGATCGAATTGGAGTTTCTTAATACTTAGTCTTATTTATTTTTCAACTATTTTTCTAAATTCTTTGAACATTTCAAAGGCTTCACACTTGTGCTTCATTAAGTACACATAACCATACCTTAAAAAATCATCGGTAAAGATTATGAAGAAGTTGAACCCGCCCTTGACACGAACACTAAGTGGCCCATAATCATCCTTGTGGATTAAATACAATAGACCTTTGGCACCTTACATTTGCCCCTTGTAAGTCAAATTAGTCATTTTTTTTCCTTTTAGACATGATTCACAAGTTTGTAGTTAGTTAACTTCGGTTGGACTGCACAATTCCTGACGACCTAGCTTGTTCATCCTATTTAAAGAAACATGACCTAGTCTAACATGCCAAAGTTGTGTTGGGTTTAAACTATCAACCTTACATTTTATTGTTGAGTTTAAGTTAATTGGGATCATCTAGGTCTAGTTGATATGGCTTGTTTATAAGTTCTCCTTGAACAATAACAGTGTTAGCTTATAAATAACGTAAATCGAATTTTTGAAATAAAAAATAGTATTTCTTATCCAAATAGGAATATAAATTAAGGTCTTTATAAAAAACGATACGAATAAACAAGTATCTAAAAATAAACTAGAATTTAAACTTAAATCTAAGATAACTCTTCCAATAATGGCCTCTGCAGAAACTCTTGTTCCATTGTCCATCCTCAAGAAAACATCTCCATGCTTGAGTTTCTTACATCTTGTCAATAGCTGTTGATACGCGTAAAACCTACGTATGAAAAACCGCAAGTGTACAGTATCGCGTTTTGTAGAATAGTGAATTCCAGATATCGATCCACAGGGAATTAAGTTCCTAAATTTACCAAGTACCGTAATTATACTATCCTAAACTTTATCTAGACGATCGAAAGGGTGGGGGATGAAGCTAAAAAGAAAGAAACAATAATAAAAGCAACGGTCCGCCAATAAAAGCGAGGAATTCCGACGTGTGATGGCTTCTAGGGTAAAATCCACCAATGTACTATCGATAAAGATCTACAAATCCGAATCTAATGTCAATTCTATATTCGCTAACCCAGACACTAAAATACCCTAACCCCCGTCTCCAATGTAGTTAGAGTCTACCCACAGGTCCGACGTCTCCGTTCAGAACCTGATATTAAGAGAGCATTTAGGTCAAGTCCTTAAGGGCTACCCGAGGTGCATCACGTCTCCATTTCCACACCCCGAGTTATGTTTTCCTAACTTCAAACGAGAAATCCTCTCTCGAGTTCATTCCCATTTACAATCAATTCAATTGTTGGCCAAACAATCGAAAGCATTTAATACAAGAAAACATAAACAGAATCAAAGAACGACAAATAGATCACAGATCTGGAAATCAAAATCAATATATACAAGGTTTCATTTCCCTAAAAGAAAATGCTTAGTTCATTACAAACATAGCATCCAAATGAAGAACACGAGAAATCATAAACTAAACGTAAAGAAAAAGCTTATGAAAAACCCGAGTCGAAACCCTCGTCGAAGCTTCCCGCGAAGAACTGGCGAGAACCGAAGAGAAAACCGAAGAAGAAGTCGAAGAGAGTCGAAGATTGAAGTCCTCGAAGAAGTCCTTGTTAAATGACACGAGGGATCTATTTATAGTATCCTTTGCCTTTAAAGATATTTTTTACGCATCCCAAGGCCCATATCGCGATATGAGCGGCAATATCGGGCGATATGGTAAAATTACAAGCTCTCTGTTTCGTTTTCCGCCATATCGCGATATGGGAGGTGATATCGCGCGATATGGCAAAAATGCAAGCTCTCTGTTTCGTTTTCTCCCATATCGCGATATGGAAGGTAATATCGCGATATGGTCGCTGCAATAACATCAAACTCTGTTTTAACCCTTTTGTAGCATGAATTTGACAATTTTGCATTTCACAAAAGTTGTAGCCCTTGCAGTTGGCTTTCTAAATCCATTTGAATCAGCTCAATCGGAGGTTGTATGAAGAAGTTATGCATAAAATACCGAACGCTGCCACCATCCACTTGATTGCAATTTTTGCTCTTGTTTGACTTGATTCTCGGCTTCGCATTCAAAATCGTTTCGAATCGGCAAAAATAGCTAACAAAACCTGAAAATATAAATAAAACAAGAAACGCATAATATAAACAAATAAAGCCGAAAACTCGTACGAACGAAGACCAAAACTTGAAGAATTGATAAGTGAAAATCATGCAAAATGAACACTTATCACACCCTCAAACTTAGATCTTTACTCGTCCCGAGTAAATCAAAACGAAACAAAAACAAAAAGGCAAAAGAAACAACAAACTAAAACTAGGCCACTAACGTAGGGAAACACGATTGCATTTAGCGTATGCAACAAGCCTTTGAACCCCTGGGTACCCCCAAAGGACGAGTTGTGTCTCGTGAGGGTTTTCAGGCAACACACCCACAAAGTTGCCGGATTGGTCAAAGCATTGCAATTAATTCCAAAGATAAAACGAGCTAGATAACCTAAAATCTTAGAATGGCCCACGGCTTAAGGTATTCGACTTTCCTACCGACGCAATTAGTTGTTTCTACACCAAAATGAAACATAGACTCAGTAATCCGTAGTTAAACAATAAACACACTCATCGAGGGTTTGAGTAGAAATGTGGGTGAAGAATAAGTTTTGATTCTGAAATTCAAAAACTCGAGTTGGGCATAAGTAGGTCTATTTATTAAAACAGAAATGACAACAACAATATTTTTGGTGATTTTCATCACAACTTTTTCCTTTTTTCATTTTTTTTTTGAAACGGGCATAATCGTGACTCGTGCAAGGCCCGACACCACTGTGTTATCTCCCTGACCCATTTATCGAACTTTAGTCCAAGAAACCCCCAAGCTCGACAGCTCGAGAGACTTAGGCGACGAGGTGCACCCAACGGGTTAAGCTCGAGTCAGAAAGGCGGGGAAATCAGAGCGTGAATCACAACAATACCACAAATTATTATTTTTATCTGTTTTTTTTTTTTATAATTAACAAAATAACATAAAATAAAAACGTAAAGACCATTGATAGAACTTTTAGCCAACAACTCGAATTGTGAACACATAATTCAATTCTAACTCGCCCCCCAAACCTCAGACTATTATACTCCTCAGAAAAATGCGCTCAAGCTTAATCGGAAAGGATTCGAAAGGCTATCCACACAAGTTGCAAAAACGCAGTCGGAAGGTTCATCTATTATTAGCCGGTTATCCACAATTTCAATTTTAAAATCAACTAGCTAGTCTACTAATTCATTAATTGGTTTGCTTCAATAGAATCCGGAAATGCAACTTACAGTCGATCCTAAATGAAATGCATGTGACAAACATAACACAATTACGGAAATCGAAATACATAAACCAAACTAAATTATATGATATGCATGCAAAAGACCAAATCAAAATAAGCTAAAGTCACCCCCAAAGTTAAATCATGCATTGCCCTCAATGCGAAAAATAAAAGATATGAGAAAGAAATACGCCCTGCACAGTCGTGCCGCAGATTGATCAGTGTTCTACGGTTGCGAAAGTGTTCTTTGGTTGCACGGGGTGCCGTGAATTTTGGCACCGAGGGCGAATTGCCGGAATTGTCTAGACTTCCCGACTTCTTACTCTTCTTTTCTTGACGAGATATCGGCAAAAATCAAGAAAAATGGGTGAAATTTAGATTTAAACCGAAAATAACAAAAAAAAAATGATAAGAACAAAGAAAATAAATGACGAGAAATAAGTAATGGGTTGCCTCACATTCAGCGCCTGTTTTACAGTCGACGGCTCGACACAATTTGAACGGATTATGTCCAATCCAAAGCCTTGTAGATTGCGCATCCATCCATCAGTCTTGATATATACTTTGCAATCAAATCATGGACTAGATTGCAATCTTGTAATGACCATCCCAACCCATGGTACTTTTCGTTTGCTTGGGAAATCAGTCGGTAGGAGACTAGGATGGGTTGCTTGCCTACCGATCTCTCAAACTTGTATACAAGATATTCGAGCTTTGGAGTAAGCTCTACCTCAAATTTGATACTCGTCTCCTCGCCGATACTCAAATCCGGAGTTACAATGTGGATAGGATTTTGTTCGTCATGTTCCTCTACCATCATCTTCATCCCACTCTCATCACACGCAAAAGTATCTACAGAACTGGGATGAATAATTCCCTCGAGGTTCTCAACCTCATCGTTCATACGAAAATCTGTAAATACCTCGTTGTTTTCATATAGGATGGTCGGATGTGGTTTGTGAATGTGACATCTCTGAAAATTTTGGAAAATATTTGCCAGAAAGTGGAGTTCGTCTTGTAAATAGCACAAGTGCTCATTTGTCTGTGCAATTCCATTTTCTGGGTTCAACCTTCGATGTCTTTCAATATCCTCCAACTCTTGATGAATGTAATCTGCTCTGGATTGAATCTCGTAAAGAGAGATATCAAAAATCGAGGCCATCAATGTATACAA